AAACAACTGGATGGCGGTACACATAATCTGATACGGGAAACAACTGGATGCTCATAATCTGATACGGGAAACAACTGGATGCTCATAATCTGATACGGTAACCAACTTGATGCTGTGACACATTATCTGATACGATAAATAACTGGATGCTGTAACATATAATCTGATAAGGAAAACAACTGGATGCTCTGACACATAATATGATATGGTAAACAACTGGATACTGTGACATATAATCTGATAAGGTAAACAACTGGATGCTGTGACACATAATATGATTTGGTAAACAACTGGATGCTGTGACACATATTCTAATAAGGTAAACCACTGGATGCTGTGACACCTAATCTGATAAGGTAAACAACTGAATGATGTGACATATCATCTGATAATGTAAACAACTGGATGCTGTGACACATAATATGATAAGGTAAACAATTGGATGCTGTGACACATAATATGATAAAGTAAACAAATGGATGCTGTGACACATAATCTGATACGGTAAACAATTGGATGCTGTGACACATAATATGATAAAGTAAACAACTGGATGCTGTGACACATAATCTGATACGGTAAACAACTGGATGCTGTGACACATAATATGATAAGGTAAACAATTGGATGCTGTGACACATAATATGATAAAGTAAACAACTGGATGCTGTGACACATAATCTGATACGGTAAACAACTGGATGCTGTGACACATAATCTGATAAGGTAAACAACTGGATGATGTGACACATAATCTGATAAGGTAAACAGCTAATCTTGACTAAATTTGGAGTTACAAGTGTTCTTAAAATATTTCGTTCATAGTATTCTTAACCGAAAGAACATTATATATATCGACAATGACTATGTTCGACTTTACATTTATTCAACATTGACTGTAATATCAGCCTAAATAAAGCTACTCTAAAAGACTATACGAATGATATTATTTTAAGGAATTGGCAAAAGTGTTGAAAATTAATGTGCCACACTAAGCTGGTTATATTCGATGCAATGACTATGTCAATAGATAGCATCAGGCTGTTTAAATTTATAAAAACAAAAGGAAAGAAAGAAAGAAAAGAAAAGAATCGTGAACAAACAAGAGTAAAACTGTCAGCGTTATTTTTACCTGGTAAATAGTCAGAGGTTTCCTCAATGGAGTTATTGTAATTGTGAGGCAAGCAATGCCATTCCAGCAGCAAGCACAATGAGTCCCACGGTAAATAAATCAAACTTTCTCTAACAAGCTTTCGTCGTTATAAGTTAAAACTAGCTCAACGATGTTTTGAGAGCAACTGTTCGCCATGTTCTGTTCCTTATGTTTTACGCCTATAACATAAATAATATAAGCCGAATGATACGGCTGAAGGCCAACGCTGGACTGTTTTTATTTTGTGTCATCAGTTTGTTAGAAAACACTTCATAAAGTAGGTCCAATTGTTTGAAACCGACTAGTTTGACCGGTTCCAGCCATTTTTGATTGACCCTATTTTACGACCGGTCGTGACTGAACGTGTTTAAAGGTGGGTGTATAGAATCAACGGTCACCAATGTTAAATGTATGACAAGGTTTATCAGCATTTCACGACGCACTAGTGAACAGTATATAGATAGTGCCGTACTTATTATGATAGATCCGTCACCAAATTTCACAACAATATTGTCAACCTAAAGAGTTATTATGCCGAATCATTGTACACAGTGTCTCCCTTGAACCCTTTACATTTTGGCTTCAATTTTTACTCATGAGTTATGCAATTTCAAAAATATTTTTTATAACATGTTACTGCAAAATATTGTTTTGCCAGACATTGCTTATAAAAGCCATTACCAATGCTAATGTTTGTTAAGCGGGATATCGAAGTCAGTATTACTACATGTAGTGTCCTTTTAAAAATTTAGACTAGAATTGTATGAAGTTAATGAGTATTTTCATAACAAAACCAGATATAAATCTTAAAAAATGCTCAATATAATCCAGGACACGCTTTTTTAATGTATTTCAACAATCTCCCAGATGTAATGCTTCGACACAACTAGTACCTTATATTCAGCCAGTTATGTTTGAGAGTTCTAGTTATGGAGATCAATTCTGCCCTAACTGAATATTTTCCATACATCACCAGCACACTCATCATTTGGTCTTATAAGAGTCTTATAAAAACATTCAGTGTGGATTTCTAATGAATTTGTGTTTGAGCATTGGCATCAATTGTATTTGATATTACATTTTTTTCATATTAATACAATGTACTGACAAAGACCCGCGACTGTATGAAACAAGGAAAGGTGATTATCACTCTTAATATTTATAATAATACTATCATAAAAACATGAACAGACCCAACATATTCAACTTACTCAGGGTGCTGAGACAGTTAAGAGACTTTAAGGCTATAGTTTATCTGTAGGAGTGACATGGATGAAATGTTAATATTCTGTAAAGTCCACAGTTTATTACTAAAGCTCATCCTTTATAACTAGAATAGCATGAGTGTGGGATTTATTGCGCTTGCTTTCCTTATAAGGGCATTAACTTTATATCGCGTTTTATTATTTTGGTTATTTGTACCTGAAAGGGCGGCATGTTCGTATGCTGCAGTACATATTTCATTACTGTGTTCGACTTTCTGCGTTTTTTTACAAGATTTTATGGATATTTAAGCAACATCTCTAATTCAATTTAATCAGCCATTTTGATATTTTTTGTTATTTTTCCACATCTACCTGTATAAGACTTTTTCCTTCACATGAAAATTTCAAGTATCTTGGTGGTAGCGTCATGAGTAGAATCGCAACGGGTTTCTCTGAAGCATCCTTATCTTCAAAGCTATCAATCTTATTTCTGAGTTGGGACTGCAAGACAGCATGAACGCATCTTATGAAAATCGTATTGATAATCCTCAAAAGCATGTGTTTATTTCTATAATAGAAATTGCCTTTACAAACTTTGAACTTTGCCTAATCGAACGATGAATGTAAGCAGGCATCTTAAAATCATTTTTCTTATCAAATGTAACAACCGAATATCTTTACATATTTATCATGGTTATTACAGTATGACTCTGCTTAGATCGTACATTACCATGAACATATCTTTTATATCGGAACATATAAACTAGTAAAGATTGTAACGGATAGCCCTTACAAATTCCCCCAAACAACCCCTGCAGTCTCTAATGAAGCTTATAGAAGCTGCGATATTGTTCCGGAAGACCTGATATGCCTAAACACCTAATTTCAGAGTAATTTTCTAAACATCAACCAATCAGGAGCCTTATGGACAGTATACTAATTTCGACCAATCAGAGGTCAGAAAATGGCGGTCATTTTGTTGAATCATAAAACTCACACTGCAGTTGTTTTCGTAGTGCCATATTACACCTTTTTTCAAATTTCATCAAAATCTGACAATATTTGAATTTCGACCAATCAGAGTCCAGGAATTGCAGCCATTTTATCTTATCACAAAACAAATACCGCAGTTGTATTCGTAGTGAGATACTACACCTATGCACAGAATTTCATCCAATTCGGACAGTGTTTAATTTTTGACCAATCAGAGGGGGGGGGGGGAACGGCGGCCATTTTGTTGAAATGTGAAATCTAAGCTACGGAAGTGATCATTGTCCTATCATACACCTTCATAGCAAATTTGATCGAAATCGGAAAATATTAAAATTTCGACCAATCAGAGGACGGAAATGGGGGGCCATTTTGTTGAAATGTGAACCGTAACTTACGGAAGTGAACATTGTCCCATGATTCACCTACATACCAAATTTGATCGAAATCCGATAACATTTAAATTTCGACCAATTAGAGGTCAGAAAATGGCTTCCATTTTGTTTAATCACAAAACAAACACCGCATTTGTTTTGGTAGTGCCATACTTCACCGATATACAAAATTTCATCAAAATCGGACAAATCAGAGGCCGCCGTCCGGCTGACCAGTCGGATGACCGATCGAAAAACGAAAATACTCTTGTGTACCGACTGTCATACACAAACACTCATGTAAAGTTTCGTTGAATTCCGCCCTACGGTTTTCGAGAAACAATTTTTTCAAGTTACAGTGCAATTACCAATGTGTCTCGTGATATCATATGAATGCAAATTTGCACACTTTATATTTTCTTTTAATTATGTGTTCGAACAGATACTTTTATTATATTTTTTTCTCCTCTTGTAGTGGGGAGGGTTGGGGGAATAGACTTCAACTTTACAATTGGAGCTGTGGTGATCACTGACGCACCTCTAGAGTAAACAAGTATGATGATTGGTGCCACATGTGGCTCAGGAAATGGTTATCTTTCAAGAGCAAACTATGTCGTCTTCGGCGTTTTCTTTCTTACTTCTTTCTCCTCCCGGCGATGTCTCCCAAGGCACCGTTCCTTATATGACGCGGGCTGTTGAGGAGACGCTAAACTCAAAACAAACGAATTGCATGACCACCGCGTGTGTTGACGCCATTGACTTTATATTTAATTCTACTAAACAATAGTAATCGTTCAGGTTTAAATTACCGTAGACTGCACACCCACTGCTTTCCGGTTCTTAATCAAACTTATCAATAACCAAGTAAATACTGAAGTACATCCTGGTTTGTTGACGCCATTGATTTTATATTTTGTTCTACCTAGCATCAGTTTCTGTACAACAACATGCGGGATAACCATAGGCAAATAACTTTAACTAAGCAGACTTTGAGTTGGTATTGCGTCCGTGTGTGTAGACGACATACATTAACTGTTTTTTGTACTTAAAATAAAACAGTAATTGTGAATGTTTAAACAAGCATAAACTGCACACCAATTGCAGCCCGGATGTCCTTTGACAACTGTTTTTGGCAATGCCCACCTCATTATGTAAATTAAGTAAATCAATAGACATAAGGCTTTATAGGTAATTTTATTTAACATTTCAAATGTCGTTTCTCAATACGTTTAATTTAATCGACCAAATCATTGTTTAAGCATTAAATGCAGAAATGTTCCATACACATTACATATTGACTTTACAACTATAGCAAATGACATTGATAAAATTACATTGTGAATGAAACAAAGCGTTTACTGATGTACTTAATTGTATCTCTTCTGAATGTCACTATGGACTAGAGACACTTAATCATATGCTGATAGAGTTTGGAACTTTGTCAGGATTCAGCCATGGATAGGAGAAAGTCCGACATTGCTCTAACGACTCCACCCTCCTGCTCAGGTCTTCTATCTCCATCCGGAACCTTTATCAATAAATATAACTAAGCATCAGGAACACTTAAACAAAATATATACAGTGTCAACACAAAAAGACAACATACCTCACTATCTTAACACTGGCACTCAGAATTGTACACTCGAAACATTTCCTTTAATTCCGTATCTTCTTTCCCAAAGTTGTTATTTTGCTTTGAAAATATACAATATCATAATATATTATTACGGTAATTTGCTCTTTTTTTCAGAAATGCTATCCTTTTTTTGTTAAAAAAAGCGATATTGTTAATTCCATTTAATGATTTACCAAGTAATAATCAATAAAATATTGAACGCTGTACTTACTCGTCCACAAGCTTCTCCGCCTTTGGATCGTACACGTACTTGACCTCGTAGTCCCCGAGCTTGTTTGTCCCCATGCCACTGAGAACCTTGGCTAAGACCATCACATCGAAGGAAGCACTCTTGTCAGGGAGGGCGTCTAGGATGGAGGCTTCCGTTAGAGCAGTCTATGTAAGAAAACACCCGAATATACCGTAATGATATTTATGTATCTTCAATCAATATTATTAATCATATTTTATATATCTTGTACTTAAATAAGAAAACGCAGCAAAGCTGCTGGACACCAGATCTCGAGATAAAAATCACTTACTGACAGTCCAACAACCACGAGGAATAGGTCCACCACAAGTTGTTCTTCGAATACTAATGGCATTAACTTTAACATTCATAATCTACTGTTCATCCGGACATGTTGCACTAATGACAATAATTTTGTTTACTACATGTTTAAATGTCACAATTTGGTAATAACTTCATTCAGTACATGATGTACGAAAAATATCTTTTAAGCAAAGATTTAATTTACTACAACAGAAAAATGTTGGGATTGGCAGCGTACCTCCTGACGCTTTATAAGGTTGTAATGACGTTACGCTTGACAAAAATGCAGAGCGCCATTTTGAATGGGGTTCTTAATGATTTTTTGCCGTTGCTGCATTTATATGGTAAGATTTCCAAACAAAAATTATATCAATGGTGCAGTTATTTTAATAACATCATGTATGTTGCAAAAATGGAACAAAACTGCGAAGAGAAAGTGCCGTTCTGATTAGACAATACTAAGAGCGATATCTTCACTTGTGAGTATATAATTTTTTATATCTTGAAAATAAACATTTTTATCAAACGGAAATTTCATGATATTTCTCTGGTAAAACGTAATAAATACGGAATAGGAAAGCACCGGAAGTGGACAAAGTGTTTCCATATCAAACCGCGTGGCGCTTTGTGCCGCTTAGCGCTTTGAAAAACACTGTAAATATGCCTATATCCTGATGGTATAATGATCGTCAAACACCTACAATAAACCCGAATGTGTACTCCTTCAAGCTTCAAATGAGGAAATGATCATTTATTTCAACACAAGTGATTGCTCCTCTCGCCAACATGCTACTAGCCATATAGAATAACACCATTCATGGTGGGTACTGAGATGATGCTACTTGATGTTGTTTTGTTTGGATTGTTTTTTTAAGGATAAAAATGTATCGTTTGAAAACTAATGATGATATCCAACAACGTGCCATGCAAATATGTCTCTAGAGGGACGAAGCAGCTGTAGGATTATATGAAATCCGTGTGTTGACTTACTGTATCTATTACCAAATTCCTAAAGGTGCATCACGTGTGTTTGTATTACATTCATATTCCATGAAGCTCATAGCTCATCTTAAAACAATGTTTGCACTGAACTGTGTTGCATACTATCATAAATGTCAATACACATATACATGATAAGTACATTGATAGCATCCATACGAGTATCCTACCTTGTCAGCAGGGGGAACACCCTCTAGGACCATTGGATAATTGGGCGGAAATCCGTACTCGTCGTATTGGGCGAAGTTGGCAGCGGCATGGCTCACACTGACCGTGAATATGATGCTGGTCAGTATGCAAACGAGATCAGACTCATTGGTAATGACACCATCACCAGGAACCCCCTGTAAACACAATGAACTATATTGAGGATATTTAATGGTGTCTTCAGTAATAACAAATGTATTTCACGAGTGTCGCTTATATTTTGATATTTTTCACGAGTGCGCAGCACGAGTGAAAAAATTAGCCACACGAATGAAATATATTTGTTATTACTGAGGACACCATCAAATGTTCTATTTATTACATGTTTTAAGCATAAAACATGAAAAATGTAATGCATTAAAAAAGCGCGGGAATCAGAAGCGTAATAACTAGCGCCACATTCTAATGACGTCACACTTAAGAACAAGGTTGTGCGCCATTTTGAATGGGATACTCAACGAAATTCCGACGATTTCTGCTGTTTTCTGGTATGATTGCTTATAAAAAGAATATTTATTGTATATTTATGTTAATACTTAAGTGTATGTACCAACCATATACCATAACAACTTATATTCTATCGTCGCTTCATTTGAATCTGAACAAAAAAGTGTTGCCTTTGAATGCAGCAAATAGAAGATACTGTTATGATTGGTCAATACCAAAAAGTGATATTTTCACACTGTGAAAATATCTTTTATGATATTTGTCCCATTGTGAAAGATATTAGTTTTATCAAGTTGATAGAATCCGATATTTCACTGGCAAAAATGTAATAAATTACCTTTCTTATTGTTATAGTTAACTGTTTAAGGTGGTACTTAATGTTGGGTATTTTAGAACTAAGCTTATAGGAGGAAACAGGTTCAGTTTCCTTGTTTCGAGCTGTAGTCCATGCTCAACACTTTGTATATCTTTGTCATTAAATGTACGTAAGGTTTATAAGTAAAGTCTATCGTGTGAATATTTGAGGATTAATGATATTCTACAACCGAGTGTAGAAATGTTTATGTCCCACATTCTTACATTATAATTTTCTCGTTTTCTCTCATACTTCTTACTAAATAATTAAGTAAAACACGACATCGGCAATGCAAATACAACTCTTAATATCGCAAAATGTTTAGATAATGTTCACATAAACTTGTTGAAAAGAGCAGAAAAAGACATGAAAGACCACAAGGACAAAATAGTGCAATCAATTTTGTGTTCATGAGGTACTACAACTGTCAGTTGTAGATGGCGGTTTGACGCACTACAGATTATGACGTCAAAAAAACCCCACTTCTTCACCTGATTGCAACGTCGTACTAGTAAAGATTACAAAGTACTCTATATGGAATACATGTGTTCCCTATAAGTGATTCATATGGGACCAAATATAGAGATAGTAACCTTATGTCGCATTCGTGTGCTTGTACGTTTAATCTAAGAAAAAGTACAAGAACTGTCTACAACCAATTACTTTTGCTTGACCTCAGATTTTTTTAACAATGACGTGACAACACGAAATTGGAAAATTCCAATGCATCCATAATTAGGGAAGATGGAATTAATTTTGCTACAAAAATGTTTGTCGAAGTCGAATCGGCATGCTAAATATCGGTGACCGGTTCGTTTGCGTCTTAAAGGGCCGTGTATTCTGGCGGTGTTGGAATGAGAACAATTATGCTCTTCTATATTTAGACCTAAGTGAAGTTTATTAACATGTACGAATAGCCATCATTATAATCATCATTTTCATCTTTTATAACAGCTCTGCTTATAAAGTAATTTTGTTTTCTTGTACAGCTAGTTCTGCAATAAAAACATAAGAGAATACCAACCAAGATACCGCATCCACCCTCTGACCGAGATTTGACTAACTCTTGAGCCCACGCCTGGATCTCGTGGTCCCCCGCGTATGTATCCGGGCTATCTGAAATAAAAGAAATAGAAGCATACATAATATTCGGAATGGTATGCTTTAAGACTTTGTTACTGACTATGCTTTTGTCTTGTAAATGTTAAGCCGAATCTATTCGCACGTACCACTTGCCCCAGGGATGGTCATTCACTTAAACAATAACTGGTTGTCTGGATGTAATTATTGTTGATATAATTACAAGTGGCCTTTGGCAAATCCTATAAAACCCGCTAGGGTTTTATGGTAGATTTGCCAGAGACCACTTGTAATTATATCAACAATAATTACATCCAGACAACCAGGTATTTTTTATATTTACATATTTTTTCTTTTTTAAGATATATTCCTACAAAAACCATTTGCCCTGCCTCAAAATACATTTCAGGCGGCCATTTTGTTTGTTTACATATTCCTACACCTGAAACAGGCAGTTGTAATTATAGTCGAGCAGTTGTAATTATAGCCTATATAATTACACTTGCCCTCTAACACTGTTGTAATGGGACGGCGCGGGGGCAAATGTAAATATATAATCATTAAGTGTATTGTTTTTTATTTTAATTAAGCGAACATAAGAAACACTGCAAACCACAAAAGTAAGATAAATACAATATGGTGATGAGTTGATTTAAGACATATATCACACAATCCCTACGTAAAGAACGAATACTTACCGTAGTAAAGTCTGACGTATTTTGTGACGTAGTTGTTGATGACATTGTATAGAAGCAGAGCGTCGTCCCTGTAATGGTAGCCCTTCAGTACCGTCTGGTCCAGTACCTGTGTTTGTAATTGTAATGTTATCAGTTATCAAAGTTATATAGCGTTTCAAATACCTTATATGATGGTCAAATGAAATGTTGATATTGTCTGATTATATTGTGTTGATATTTGTGTGCGTAATAGGAGAGGGAAAATATACAGCATGACCAGTATTCGAACTCGGGACCTCCGAACTCAAAACTGACCCTCCAACCCTCCAACCAACTGAACTAACTTGTTGCCGGCGAGCGACCAAATACAGTTCCACTTGGTAATACCAATTAAAAAGGAAAGATCAAGAGAAATAAAGCACATGGATGATCCGACGGTCTTTTACCACATGAATGATTAAGTCTAATAGGGGCTTTCTGTTTTTAGTATACAGATCACTAGACAGGAAGACTAATGTGTACCCCTCTCTTCTCCAGTTGTACTGGCAGTGTCCCGTCCTCGTCCATCCGCCACAACGCCAGCCTGTAACACGATGTTACAAACATTCAGTGGTGTATGTACTCGGGCAAAGGCACAGAATATCATTTTACATTCTATCATTAAAATTTGCAAACATAAACGATGAAGTTTCATCAATGGGAAGATTATAGGTAACTACAGAAAGGAAATTAATATTTCTGAAATTATACTCACTGTTCCACTCTACAAGTATGATGTATAAATATGAGTGTACCTTCATATTGTGGTCCCTAAAATTATGAAGAAACCGAAAGAAACGAAAAGAAGCCCGGCCTCAAATATCTGTGTTTCAAAAATAAATCACTAGTACACCGTGATGACAGAAAGATTGGGAAAGTCCTGTACTACTACCACATAAAGATATAAATATCGTGGTATGCCCACAACAAGGTCATCATATCTGCTATTATCCCCACTACCCATCAAGGTTATCATATCTGTTAGTATCCCCACTACAAAACCATGTTAGTTCTCTCTGCTATTACAATTAATAAATCGGAGTAACATCCGCTAGTACAATCATAGATGTTTCGGGGTAACCTCTCGTATCTCTATGTGTTTGGCATACAAATAGTTATATAAAATGTATAAATTATGGAATCATTCCCGAATTTTGAAACAAAATCAGACAGTGCGTACTTTCGACGGATGAGTTCAAGTACACCATCAGTGCCTGCTGTCATCAACTTATCCAACGAGCCTCCAGGTTTGATCAACGTTTCAAGTGCGAACCTGTTAATGAAAATGACAGAAACATTTAATGTATAACAATATGATGCAGTTTTTGATGGACAACATCGAATAGCACTGGTCTATGACAACAAGAACAAGATCTAATTGTAACGGGGAACAGTTACAAAAGTCCCCAAAGCGACCCCATACAGTTACAACAGTGTCCAAAGCGACCCCTACAGTTACAACAGTGTCCAAAGCGACCCCTACAGTAACAACAGTGTCCAAAGCGACCCCTACTGCTACAACAGTCCCCAAAGCGACCACTACAGTTACAACAGTCCCCAAAGCGACCCCTACAGTTACAACAGTCCCCAAAGCGACCCCTACTGTTACAACAGTCCCAAACGCGACCCCTACTGTTACAACAGTGCCCAAAGCGACCCCTACTGTTACAACAGTGCCCAAAGCGACCACTACTGTTACAACAGTCCCCAAAGCGACCACTACAGTTAAAACAGTGCCGAAAGCGACCCCTACTGTTACAACAGTGTCCAAAGCGACCCCTACAGTTACAACAGTGCCCAATGCGACTCCTACAGTTACAACAGTCCCCAAAGCGACCCCTACTGTTACAACAGTGCCCAAAGCGAACACTACTGTTACAACAGTCCCCAAAGCGACCACTACAGTTAAAACAGTGCCGAAAGCGACCCCTACAGTTACAACAGTGCCCAAAGCGACCCCTACAGTTACAACAGTCCCCAAAGCGACCACTACAGTTACAACAGTGCCCAAAACGACCCCTATTGTTACAACAGTGCCCAAAGCGACCCCTACTGTTACAACAGTCCCCAAAGCGACCACTACAGTTACAACAGTGTCCAAAGCGACCCCTACAGTTACAACAGTGCCCAAAGCGACTACTACAGTTACAACAATGCCCAAAGCGACCTCTACAGTTACAACAGTCCCAAAAGCGACCCCTACAGTTACAACAGTCCCCAAAGCGACCACTACAGTTACAACAGTGCCCAAAGCGACCCCTACTGTTACAACAGTCCCCAAAGCGACCACTTCTGTTACAACAGTCCCCAAAGCGACCACTACTGTTACAACAGTCCCCAAAGCGACCACTACTGTTACAACAGTCCCCAAAGCGACCCCTACTGTTACAACAGTGCCCAAAGCGACCACTACAGTTACAACAGTCCCCAAAGCGACCCCTACAGTTACAACAGTCCCCAAAGCGACCCCTACAGTTACAACAATCCCCATAGCGACCCCTACATTTACAACAGAGCCCAAAGCGACCCCTACTGTTACAACAGTGTCCTAAGCGACCCCTTCAGTAACAAAAGTCCCCAAAGCGACCCCTACAGTTACAACAGTGTCCAAAGCGACCCCTTCAGTTACAAAAGTCCCCAAAGCGACCCCTACAGTTACAACAGTGTCCAAAGCGACCCCTACAGTTACAACAGTCCCCAAAGCGACCACTACTGTTACAACAGTGCCCAAAGCGACCCCTACTGTTACAACAGTCCCCAAAGCGACCACTACTGTTACAACAGTCCCCAAAGCGACCCCTACAGTTACGACAGTCCCCAAAGCGACCACTACAATTGTAAATGATGCTATGTAAAGTCATTGTACAGTTCGTAATGGCATAGAATACTCACACGCAAAATTTGAGAGAAATCGGTCAAAAACTAAGATTTGATCAAGTAGACACGATTTAGGGACTTAATGAAGGTATTTTATTTCATGCTTTGCGCTCATAAAATTGTGATAAAACGTGTATCGGTTTTAACACTAGAGGTCAACAGACGTGAATGTATCACTCCCTCTGCTTGTCATTAGAAATAAACCAGAATTGTTTTCCATGTTCCTTTTTCCAACTAACAGGGATAAAACAAAATATTAAATATAAAAATATTATAAACTTAAATAAAGCTGATATATATGTATCCCCATATCTGTAAAGGTGTACGTGTGTGTATGTGTACTTGACGTTGTATAGCTAGATGTTATATATATGTATCCCCATATATGTAAAGGTGTACGTGTGTGTATGTGTACTTGAGGTTGTATAGCCAGATGTTATATATATGTATCCCCATACCCATATTTTTCGGGCTTTATTTCCAATGGCTCAATCATAATGCGATACCACTTGAACGCTACATAACATTATTGTGTTTTTCAATCTAGCTATATATGTTATATGCTCTAAGCAGGTGGAGTTGAGAAACAGGGGAAAAGTGTTTTGGCAAAAGACAAAATCTTAACCCACCGCCTTCAGGATCCAAACCTATGGACTTGCAGTCAGTAGATTGTATTAATTCCATCTGTGCTATACGGCCCTAAGTGTTTAACAGTGTGTCCTTACCCATTTATTGCCATGAGATAGATGAAGTGAGGCGCCAACAGTTTGAAGATGGGATGGGAGTGAGAAAGGTTTCTATGCGTGACGAGAGCACATCCTTCCATCAGCAGGTGCGTGAATCCTGAAAAATAAGAATATAACAAACAAATCATCATCAACACTTAAAGCTGGTATCCAAGCGTTGTACATATAGGTAAATAAATACACATTCCCGTTCATTATATCTTGTTGTTAGGGTCTATCGCTTTATGAAGATATATAGTTAATACGAAATGCTTGTCAAGCTCATACAATAGACTAATTTGAAGAACGTGTTCAGTGCTATTACAGGTATTAACAGATATAGGTAACTTACCGTTAGATAAAGGATGAAAAGTATTATATTAAGTTATTACAACACCTATTGATTGTTGTAGCTGTACTTAAACTGTTTCATGTTTATCGATAACGGCATCTTAAACATGTTCGAATTATTTATTTTCAGTTTGCAAAATGGCTGGCTATATACGAAAACGACAGATGACAAACCTTCCGCTTTAACGCCTACAAAATGGCCTTGTTTTATATGATCAATGTCAAATCTGGAATAACAGGTCAGTGATAAAGCTATAAAACCTTGACCAATAATGGCAGTTTTCTACAAACCTAACTTTGATATTGAACATTAGAAACATTTCTTTTTTAAACACACATACTTAGTATATTACGTGTAATATATCACTTGGAATGACGAAAGTTGCAAACAGAAAAAAAAAGCTGGGGTCAGCATTCTTCATTATGTTATTTTCTAATCCTCGTGACATGTTAATTCATAATACCCTCACAACAGAAAGATATTTCTTAAAGAAATATAGCGTTAAAGCAAGTATCCGGATGGAAATTGCCATATACAAACGTAAAACCCAGCAAGATGTCTCCGAAGACATTATGACGGCTGCCAACGGTCTTAGACAAACTTTATATCTAATCATGGCAAGCATTGAACTCGCAGAATCTGCAGACCTGAACATCTGGTTGATGAGCACCGTGCATCGTTGTTATATCAATTCTTCCTTATAGAAATATCTGGACAATAGAACGTGCCTATGTACAATTAATACTCAGAGTGATTCAGGAGTAGTGTTATAGAAATATCTGGACAATAGAACATGCCTATGTACAATTAATACTCAGAGTGATTCATGAGTAGTGTTATATGTTATATTATATGTCATTAGAGAGATGTTGTTTTTTCTGTAAACGGAAACTGTCAGAGATTGGTTCTATACCTAGATGGGTGATGGACTGATGGTAACAGGTGTCTGCATTGTTGTACCACATCTTCGCGAACAGCCACGTGTAAGTTGGGTCGGATGGTAGGAAAACCTAAAACAATACCAAATATTGCTAAATTCCTATAAAAAAAAATCAAATAACAAGAACCTTTGTGTTTGTGAGCGACGTATGTCTTATTCCCAAGCCTTCGTTAGATAGTCGTCATGATGTTGCATTTTAAACGTGCATTTTATATAACTATTTTCAGTGACACCATGGCGCTTCTTCAACAGTTATGGAATACATAACAGTGATACGGATATTTAAGTGCCTTTTATGTTCAAAAACCAATTTTCTGTACAATCATTAATCTTCAATGAAACTTATTACTATACTTAAAATGTGTTTCCTGCAAGAGAAGTTTCAAATTGAGATACTCGTCACGATTATTGTTGCTGAGTTGTAATTTGGACGGAGCTATTCAGTACACGTCGCATACACTGGTCGCAGTTATGAAGTTCTGAATATGAAGATTAAATGAGAAAGTTCTTACACAGAATGCTAATATTAGTTACCAAATATCTCATAAGTATCTAATTTACTCAACATCAGCAGAAAGCGATTTATTTGAATTTTTACATGTATGTTATGATGCATAATATTTAATAAGATGTATAATTTATAAATTAAACACAGATTCAACACAGAAGGTCAAGATCAAAACCATGTGTTTCAGGAGATAAAGTGTTTTCCATACCACAAATGACACATGTTGTGATAACTCCCCTCAACTCCAGGAAAGCATCTAGAACTCCAACAATATAAGACACGGGAACAAGTGTTTAGTCATAGCAGAAACTTAAGTAATATTGTTGGAAATCAAGATCAGTATGACGTATGACGACAGTAATTAATTTTTCGATTTAAAATCTCTGAGTAAGCTACCCACCGGATTGTCGTCCGCCGGCTCCTGCTGCAGCTGTATCGCTATGGGAACCAGGGTATCTTTCTTGTTGTGGTAGAATAAGGCAATCGGTGAGCACATCTTTTAGGGACAAAATTACGATGAAAATTAATGAACATTTTAAGAATTACAAACTCTTATTGGTATTTCATATTCCATGTCTATTAATGTATAACTCAGAAAAGGACATGGTTATTAATGTACCGAAAGGAATGCAGGTAACATGAAATTGGAAATCACGTTCATTCATAAATACAAACGTTCATTCATATTTACAAATAATAAGTTCGGAGGGGACATTTGCATAGTAACATTTATGGCAACGCCTTAATGTTTATGTTCACAATTAAGTCAATGTCCTGTTAATTAAGGCATATGTATTTGATTGTATACAAACATATCTATCTATCACAGGCATGACTATGCGCGTTTAGGCTTCACAAATTGGTCAGAGAAAACCAAATGTGATAAAATACCATAATATTACGTAATGTAGAGTATTTGAACATCGTAAAAAGATTTAAGATGAGTGAATAAACGGTTTGAAAAATATATGTATTTTATATTATGGATTATGTTCATTTATTCTGATCAAGATCACAACAAAACCCTGATTCCTTTTTCATTGCCATATCATAGGCTGACATTACGGTGATTACGGTTAACGGTCCATAGATGGTATGAGGACATTGTGAGCTTGATTACGGTAAACAGTCCATAGATGGTATGAGGACACTGATAGCTCGATTACAGTAAACAGTCCATAGATGGTATGAGGACATTGTTAGCTTGATTACGGTAAACAGTCCATAGATGGTATGAGGACATTGTTAGCTAAGACAGTTATCAATAGCTCTTTATATAATCAAGTACTTTACTGTTAATCCCGGTTTGGTCGGTACTCCTTCCTGTAAGCCTAGATCTACGTAGAAAAGCCTCTTCTGTGAATTAACATTTTGTACTGTGTCGCCCTCCAGGAAGGGTTGTAACATGTCATCGGTGACAGCAAGTCTGACAAGGAAATTGGAATCAAACCTGATAAATGTATGCGCCGATATCTGGCAATTGCATATCCCAACAATATCAAATTGTACACAGTTGGCCTTTTACTGAGCTTACACACAATCACACTTACACAAAGATGGGATTTTTACTTTGGCATTTTGTTTTCGGCAGCAATTGTTATTAAAACGGAATTAAGTGTAAAATGGTGTAAAAATCTTTAGAATGAATTGAATACTTCGATCATTATCTCGATAACCAAGAGATTAAATTAATTGCACTTGGCTGTAACTGGTACATTTTTGGTGTGTTCATGACTGATCTATTTCCTGGTATCTGCTACTTAAGCTAACAAATTATTGTTTTCCAAACAAAATATGAAGTAACTCATTAAATAGTCGTAGTCTTAATCATTCGTTACCAGAAAATAATAAGTTACTTCACAATAGACTTAAAATTTGTGTAGAAGTATATCATTGGCATCATTAAGTCCATACTTGCTCGGGATCTCAGTGCAGAGAGTGATCAGGACGTTATTGAGCCGACCAATTCTTTGGAACCCAAAATGCTCGTCAGTGTCCCAGCTTTTGTTCGCTAGAGGCTAAAACACAAACACTAATTGTCATCCTTGTTCAACGTAAGACTGTAAACACTGGATTGTTTTCCTTGTGGTACGTTTTACTGGTGAAAGATGCAAATTTCGAATACGCATTTAGCAATGAATATGTTAGCGAAAAATGCATGGTCCTATAACTCGAATTGCTGGAAAACATGACATAGACAGAAAACATGACATAGACAGAAAACATGACATAGACAGAAAACATGACATAGACAGAAAACATGACATAGACAGACACTGATCATGAAAGCTCACTACGATAGTGACGATTTTTGCCTTTTTCAAATATATCATTTTTTCTATGTGCATTGCTCAGGGGTGGTTGATTTTTTTCTCCCACACTTTCATAACGTAGAAATAACTTCTGCCATAACGGAAGCATGAAAAGTGCCCCAAAATGATAACAACAACCTGGTTACTTATGTAGCATACAAAGATGACACGATCGTGATGTTTCCAAAATAATAGCGCGTCTGCGCTCTTTTTCTGAATAAGTAGTTGCGAAAATAAAGTTATGCTACAAACAAAATTAAAAAGTCGTTTACTCAAAAGATTCCAATTCAGACCAAATGACAGGATCATGTTACTTCAGGGGAGATAACTACAGAGCAGTAACTTCTAATATATACACATATACTCACCGACGGTTTTGTGAAGACTTCCAGTGTATAGATGTTTTCAAGGTCATCAAGGTCGTCCCATCGTCCAGTGGTCAGCGCCACAATGTGGCTCTTAACTGTCATTTCTGCACTCAGTTTTACAATATCGAACTGTGTAACGTTTGATATTAAAGTTAAAAAGCGTATTGCGACTAGGTTTGATATAAAAAAAAATATGCAAGCAAACGAATATTTTATTAATAAAACATATTCCGACTGTGAATAAATCGCATGTGAAAAGATATCCAGAGCCATTATACACAGCAATGGTCGAATAGTAATGATTAAAATGAAGAAGTTTTTTGGCAGTTATTTTCGAAAATGGCAAACGGAATATTAGGTTTCTTAAAAAACTGCTTGATCAATTCCTTTTTATCAAATTATCAGTAATTTTTAAAACGTTTTCACACAATTGAAACAGGCTTAACCATATTAACCAAATTGGCAATCATTGTTTTATTGAATTATGTTTTAATGATTTCTCTTTCTTGTAAAGGAAACTATCAACATACACGAAAGAGATGACCTTAACACACATGCACAGGTGTGTTCACACTTTACAAATGGTTATAGATATAGTTTGCCAAAATTGAATTCCAATGCTGAATACTGCTGTCCGACTAGGACTCATCGGTGATTCTTGGCCAAAAACTCTGGCACTAGGTTATTCATTACCAGGTAGCATAGGTCATTTTACTGATCCAATGCTGATATATGTTGCTTTTTCAATAAGAACACCAACTTGTATAGGCTAATGAATATTGCTGGGCCTTCTATTCGACAAGTCTGCTATCAAATAATTAATCAACATTGAGTAAAAGTGAAACACGGATATAGCATAATTATTAGAAATACGAAGAAAGGAACACCTTATCAAAAAATGTCGATGCAGAAAGTCAAAAAGTACATTTCATCTTACCTTATGGCCATTTTATACGGAGTAAGCTTTATGACATATATATTTTAAAAAGAGATTACATGAAATAATAACTAAATTACATTTTAACAGAACCTAACGAAAGGCTGAGTCTATCGTCCATGGGAATGTTGTTTATGAGTCCTATGTGTAGTCGAGTGTTGGTGTCAAAGCTATTCAACATTCAAGACTAAATTATAAACACTTTGTATATTATGAAATGAAATAACTCATTAAAATATGTATATATAGGTGTAAATATATATATAAATATATACATGTTTTCGCATTATTTTCTTTAATAAAAAAAATGCCAGAATTCTGTCTACTTAAAACCTTATTTAAGCAGAAACCGTTTTTTAACACATTTCGTGTTGGTTTTAAAACATTCGTTTATAATTACTACTGATATATTTGATGGTGTGTGAAAAATTGTCGTCGATTGGAAGAAATGCAGGTACGTAGATATTAGACTCGTTTACCACATTTGATGTGTTTCGATATCTTTGATATAGGCAAAATATTTTTTGAGGTATGTTATAACACATAACAAAATACTATACACACTCATAGCAATATGATTAGGTCAACATCGTTTACCTTATAATCAAAGGAAAACTTCTCATCTTCGGGCACTTCTTTTGCCTAAAAACAAAACCCCCAAAACTATACGTCTATATTGTATTGTAATATTCATGATATATGAGATCATAATAACAATGTTTATCAGTTGTACTTAAACAATAAAGAACTTAAATCCATATATAATATAGCGGTCAAGGGGCTGCCAGATTAAGAAAAGCGCCAGTTTTTACGCCACTTTCAGTAGCAAAATGAATTTAATCCTGTTTCCTTTAGAAACTTATACAGAATTTAACTAAAAGATGTCAATGGCAAATTTGATAGAATTCAACATGCAATTTGATAAAAAAAAATCACCTGTTTCAAATATCGAAACACTTGACTCATTGACCCTTGTCGGTAGGTCGTCTGTTACCTGTTTTGCAACACCTGACTCATTGACCTCTAGGTGGTTGGTCGTATGCTACCTGTATCGGAACACCTGACTCATTGCCCTCTCGGGGGTAGCTCGTATGTTACATGTATGGGAACACTTGACTCATTGACCCTAGTCGATAGGTCGTCTGTTACCTGTTTTGAAACACCTGACTCCTTAAGCTATTCGGTAGGTCGTCTGTTACTAGTTTTGAAACACCTGACTCCTTGACCTAGTCGATAGGTCGTCTGTTACCTATTTCCGAACACCTGAATCATTGACCCCTAGTCAGTAGGTCGTCTGTTTCCTGTATCGGAACACCTGACTCATTGACCCTAGTCGGTAGGTCGTCTGTTACCAGTTTTGAAACACCTGACTCCTTAACCTAGTCGATAGGTCGTCTGTTACCTATTTCGGAACACCTGAATCATTGACCCCTAGTCAGTAGGTCGTCTGTTTCCTGTATCGGAACAACTGACTCATTGACCTTAGTCGGTAGGTCGTGACCTGTATGGGAACACCTGACTCATTGACCCTAGTCGGTAGGTCGTCTGTTACCTGTATGGGAACACCTGACTCCTTGACCCCTAGTCAGTAGGTCGTATGTTACCTGTATAGGAACACCTGAATCCTTGACCCCTAGTCGATAGGTCGTCTGTAACCTGTTTTGAAACACCTGACTCCTTAACCTAGTCGGTAGGTCGTCTGTTACCTGTATCGGAACACCTGACTCCTTGACCTCTATGTAGTAGGTCGTATGTTACCTGTATCAGACCACCTGACACCTTGACCACTATGTAGTAGGTCGAATGTTACCTGTATCGGACCACCTGACTCCTTGACCTCTATGTAGTAAGTCGAATGTTACCTGTATCGGAACACCTCACTCCATGACCTCTAGGTGGTAGGTTGTCCGTTATTGTATAGGGAGACCTACACAACTTTGGGCATAAGTTGGAAGGTCATTTGTTTCCTTATCGGTAGGTCTAGTGACTTACCAGTCATATGGTACAAAGCACGTCAAGAGTCCAAGCCTTCACTTTTAGGTAGAATATCGTCTTTAACTTAAATTGGAAGACCTTTAACCTTGACCTCAATATGGAGGGTCATTGTATTTGTACCAATAGCTTTAGGAATAGTATACCAATCTGGTAGTTCTTACCTGTGCGGTAGCCCTAGAACATTGTCCCAATTTAATAAGTAGGTTAACCTGTATCGGTAGCCTTAGATTATTACCCAAATTTGATAGGTAGTTTTACCGGTATCGGTAGCCCTAGAACAATACAAAAATATAATAAGTAGTTTTACCTGTATCGGTAGCCCTAGAACAATTCCCAAACTTAATAGGTAGTGTTTACCTGTATCGGAAGCCCTAGAACAATACCCAAACTTAATAGGTAGTATTAACCTGTATCGGTAGCCCTAGAACAATACCCAAACTTAATAGGTAGATTTTACCTGTATCGGAAGCCCTAGAACATTAACCCAATTTTATAAGTAGTGTTTACTTGTATCGGAAGCCCTAGAACATTTACCCAATTTAATAGGTAGTGTTTACCTGTATCGGAAGCCCTGGAATCTTGACTTCCATCTCGTATGTCTTCTTCTTGTCGTTAAGCTCTGCAAGTCGTTGTTCTTTGTGAGGATCATCTTGTGGAAGGGACGTATCAAGATGGCGAATTTTATAATGATAGTCTCCCTTTATCCAACGTAGACAAGGGAAGATGAAGGCCTTGTCGGATTCCTTACAGACCACCTTTATCACCTCTACAAACCATTCGTTTGTCGAGGAATCCTTGTCGTCTCGCCATATTTCTATCGTGTCAACATTATCAAGGAAAGTGGAAGTTGCATGAAAAACATCTGTCCTGCCTCTTTCAAAGTCATTTTTCAGAAACGTATCCAAAACCATCTGACCAGACATTTGACCGTCATCGTTGTAAAGGGCACACATTACGCTAGCGTCTGTCCCCGCACCCTTCCGGTCCATAGTGGTGACAGAGACAATGTATTCACACTGCAATATAAGCTACATGGCATTATCAAGTAATTTTACAATATTTATACATGTTCATGTGCGCCAGGCATGATACCCTCTGACCAATATTATGCTACAGGTTATACTTGATAGAAGATGATACATCAAGTTAAATATGATTTCACCTCTACAGGAACAACAACTTGCTAAATATAAAGAAGAGTTCACCAGCATGATATAACACCCCTACAAACAACAAATTGTTAAAAAACGAATTTCATTTTCACTGATAATGAACTGTTGACGTAAAACAAAACATGACTCTTATATTTCATATATAATGGAAAGGATCGGAAAGAGAAATAATGATGTTATGGTAGGCGACTGAGACACCGAGATGAAGGGGGAAATTGTTCGTAGGGGATAAGCTTAGTAAACCAACCTGCTGATTTTGGTCCACATATCTGGGTGTTCGTTTTCCTTCATCCGTGATATCAACAGGTACTGAGCTACCACACTGCAATCAATAGAAAAAACGCTTTGTTTTTTAAAGTATTGAACATCTTTATACTATTTGTCATTTCAACAAAGAGAAGTGTTCATAACAAATAGACTGGACACCAGTTAAGTGTTTATTAGTAATTTCCTATGGTATGCTACCATGCACCTGTATGTATCGTGTAACACCTCACCAAACTTAAAATAACGCCCTTACTGACATATCTTGTTTGTAGATGTAAAACTAATGCCCTTACTGACATATCTTGTTTGTAGATGTAAAACTAACCGCCTTCCTGACATTTTTGTAGATGTGAAAATAACGCCCTTACTGACATATCTTGTTTGTATATGTACAAATAACGCCCTTACTGACATATCTTGTTTGTATATGTACAAATAACGCCCTTACTGACATATCTTGTTTGTATATGTACAAATAACGCCCTTACTGACATATCTTGTTTGTATATGTACAAATAACGCCCTTACTGACATATCTTGTTTGTATATGTACAAATAACGCCCTTACTGACATATCTTGTTTGTAGATATAAACATAACGCCCTTACTGACATATCTTGTTTGTAGATGTACAAATATCGCCCTTACTGACATATCTAGTTTGTAGATGTACAAATAACGCCCTTACTGACATATCGTGTTTGTAGATGTAAAAATAACGCCCTTACAGACATATCTTGTTTGTAGATGTAAAAATAACGCCCTTACTGACATATCGTGTTTGTAGATGTACAAATAACGCCCTTACCGACATATCTTGTTTGTAGATGTACAAATAGCCCCCTTACTGACATATCTTGTTTGTAGATATAAACATAACGCCCTTACAGACATATCTTGTTTGTAGATGTACAAATAACGCCCTTACTGCCATATCTTGTTTGTAGATGTACAAATAGCCCCCTTACTGACATATCTTGTTTGTAGATATAAACATAACGCCCTTACTGACATATCTTGTTTGTAGATATAAACATAACGCCCTTACTGACATATCTTGTTTGTAGATGTAAAGATAACGCCCTTACTGACATATCTTGTTTGAAGATTTAAAAATAACGCCCTTACTGACATATCTTGTTTGCAGATGTAAAACTAATGCCCTTACTGACATATCTTGTTTGTAGATGTACAAATAACCCCCTTACTGACATATCTTGTTTGTAGATATAAACATAACGCCCTTACAGACATATCTTGTTTGTAGATGTAAAAATAACGCCCTTACAGACATATCTAGTTTGTAGATGTACAAATAACGCCCTTACTGACATACCTTGTTTGTAGATGTAAAAATAACCCCCTTACTGACATGTCTTGTTTGTAGGTGTACAAATAACGCCCTTACTGACATATCTTGTTTGTAGATATAAAAATAACGCCCTTACTGACATATCTAGTTTGTAGATGTACAAATAACGCCCTTACTGACATATCTAGTTTGTAGATATAAAAATAACGCCCTTACTGACATATCTTGTTTGTAGATATAAACATAACGCCCTTACTGACATATCTTGTTTGTAGATGTACAAATAGCCCCCTTACTGACATGTCTTGTTTGTAGATATAAAAATAACGCCCTTACTGACATATCTAGCTTGTAGATATAAAAATAACGCCCTTACTGACATATCTTGCTTGTAGATGTAAAAATAACGCCCTTACTGACATATCTTGTTTGTAGATGTAAAAATAACGCCCTTACTGACATATCTTGTTTGTAGATGTAAAAATAACGCCCTTACTGACATATCTTGTTTGTAGATGTAAAAATAACGCCCTTACTGACATATCTTGTTTGTAGATGTAAAAATAACGCCCTTACTGACATATCTTGTTTGTAGATGTAAAAATAACGCCCTTACTGACATATCTTGTTTGTAGATGTAAAAATAACGCCCTTACTGACATATCTTGTTTGTAGATGTAAAAATAACGCCCTTACTGACATATCTTGTTTGTAGATGTAAAAATAACGCCCTTACTGACATATCTTGTTTGTAGATGTAAAAATAACGCCCTTACTGACATATCTTGTTTGTAGATGTAAAAATAACGCCCTTACTGACATATCTTGTTTGTAGATGTAAAAATAACGCCCTTACTGACATATCTTGTTTGTAGATGTAAAAATAACGCCCTTACTGACATATCTTGTTTGTAGATGTAAAAATAACGCCCTTACTGACATATCTTGTTTGTAGATGTAAAAATAACGCCCTTACTGACATATCTTGTTTGTAGATGTAAAAATAACGCCCTTACTGACATATCTTGTTTGTAGATGTAAAAATAACGCCCTTACTGACATATCTTGTTTGTAGATGTAAAAATAACGCCCTTACTGACATATCTTGTTTGTAGATGTAAAAATAACGCCCTTACTGACATATCTTGTTTGTAGATGTAAAAATAACGCCCTTACTGACATATCTTGTTTGTAGATGTAAAAATAACGCCCTTACTGACATATCTTGTTTGTAGATGTAAAAATAACGCCCTTACTGACATATCTTGTTTGTAGATGTAAAAATAACGCCCTTACTGACATATCTTGTTTGTAGATGTAAAAATAACGCCCTTACTGACATATCTTGTTTGTAGATGTAAAAATAACGCCCTTACTGACATATCTTGTTTGTAGATGTAAAAATAACGCCCTTACTGACATATCTTGTTTGTAGATGTAAAAATAACGCCCTTACTGACATATCTTGTTTGTAGATGTAAAAATAACGCCCTTACTGACATATCTTGTTTGTAGATGTAAAAATAACGCCCTTACTGACATATCTTGTTTGTAGATGTAAAAATAACGCCCTTACTGACATATCTTGTTTGTAGATGTAAAAATAACGCCCTTACTGACATATCTTGTTTGTAGATGTAAAAATAACGCCCTTACTGACATATCTTGTTTGTAGATGTAAAAATAACGCCCTTACTGACATATCTTGTTTGTAGATGTAAAAATAACGCCCTTACTGACATATCTTGTTTGTAGATGTAAAAATAACGCCCTTACTGACATATCTTGTTTGTAGATGTAAAAATAACGCCCTTACTGACATATCTTGTTTGTAGATGTAAAAATAACGCCCTTACTGACATATCTTGTTTGTAGATGTAAAAATAACGCCCTTACTGACATATCTTGTTTGTAGATGTAAAAATAACGCCCTTACTGACATATCTTGTTTGTAGATGTAAAAATAACGCCCTTACTGACATATCTTGTTTGTAGATGTAAAAATAACGCCCTTACTGACATATCTTGTTTGTAGATGTAAAAATAACGCCCTTACTGACATATCTTGTTTGTAGATGTAAAAATAACGCCCTTACTGACATATCTTGTTTGTAGATGTAAAAATAACGCCCTTACTGACATATCTTGTTTGTAGATGTAAAAATAACGCCCTTACTGACATATCTTGTTTGTAGATGTAAAAATAACGCCCTTACTGACATATCTTGTTTGTAGATGTAAAAATAACGCCCTTACTGACATATCTTGTTTGTAGATGTAAAAATAACGCCCTTACTGACATATCTTGTTTGTAGATGTAAAAATAACGCCCTTACTGACATATCTTGTTTGTAGATGTAAAAATAACGCCCTTACTGACATATCTTGTTTGTAGATGTAAAAATAACGCCCTTACTGACATATCTTGTTTGTAGATGTAAAAATAACGCCCTTACTGACATATCTTGTTTGTAGATGTAAAAATAACGCCCTTACTGACATATCTTGTTTGTAGATATAAAAATATCGCCCTTACTGACATATCTTGTTTGTAGATGTAAAAATAACGCCCTTACTGACATATCGTGTTTGTAGATGCAGAAAGTCTATCAAACTTACCATATAAAAATATGATGTGAGTATGTATCAGAACAAATATGTTGAGCAATCCAATATAAGATAATGGACACCCGCTTGTGTTCTTTTAGTAAAATGTAAAATACTGATACATCCACAAATAAAGCCAACGAATTAAAATTTTATCTACATTGAAACATGTACTCTAAATAATCATCGCTTTGATGTTAGACACCTATTGCAATTGGTATAAAACCAGTCAGAACATTTTAGCATGATACTTTACCCCCATTGTAAGTATTTCGGCGATATCTGGTGTCAGAGTCTGTGTGCCTACATTTCGCATAAACCCCTGACATCCTGTATCTATCTTTGTTTTCAATATCAATATACACATATATTATCAAGTTTCCTGGGTCATTACTCGCTTGTATATATCAATTGGCATTAGAAAATATTTAAATTAATACATCAGTGTAAAATCCTGTGGGTCGACATATTTATTAGAACTATTTCTTATTCAACTTTTTGTACTTCATGATATGCAATCCTAGGAAGTTCATTGTAAATTATGTGGAATCAGGCAAAACGTTAATGACTTTTGATATGATAAATAAACTTGCAACCGTACTCAAGATAGTAATATTTCTTGAAGAATTTG